TAGTCTAAATATATGAAATATCAGGTACTCGACGTGCTTTTACTCAAACAAACAACATATTATTTCCTGAATTACGTGCATTACCGCTTAAATTTGTCAATACTTTGTGGTCCGGTTTACTGCTAAATGCAGTGTCTTTTGATGCATGAAACTCGGTGGATGTAATTTTAATGGAAGTTAATTTTGAAAATTGGTTCCTTAAAAGCTTTCATCGCATGTTTAAATCCAAAAAGCTATGTCTTAGAATTTAGAATATATTAAAGCAATATTTCTTTATCTTTTAAAGTACAGAGGCACATGCTATGTAAGGTTCATATGTATACCTGCTTAAAGTTATNCTCACGCTGGGCGATATTTTTTGTACAAAATCCCGTCCTTAAAGCTATTTCCTTTTGATGAAAAAAAATATATAACGAATATATTTTAGTTCAAAAACCAACGAAACATCTGAATTTACATGGAAGAAGCAAAGTAGGAGTATGTCATCAAATACATTTGATAATTAAAGAATAAAATATTGATAAAAATCTGTAATCCACATCGAGCTATAAAAAGGCATTCAGAATAATTTTTACAATTTTTTTTGTAGGTGTGAATTTATGTCTCTTTCAATATACTTATTCTACTAGTGTATTATTACAATAGTATGTAGATTTCCTGAATTCACCGGTTATAATATTTATATTTTAAACTTGTGTTATAGTTATTTGGTATTGATTATACGAATGGTTTCACCTTCTTTCGCATTGTCGACCACATTGATAACGTTTATTACATACGAGGTTTGTTAAAAAAATAACTGAACTTTATTTTTGTAAACTATATTATTAATTTTATACATTATTGGTCCTTGTCTCCTTTAAAGTACATTCCTCCTCTATTCACACATCTTTTCCAAAGGTGTTTCCATTTCGCGAAGCAGTCCTAGATAGCTTTTTTTAAATGGCCTTTAAAGTCTGTGACGAATTTGCTTTGATGTCATCAATAGTCTGAAAATGGTGATCTTTCAACACTGATTGTAATTTCGAAAATAAGAAAAAATCACAAGGAGTTAGGTCTTGAGAGTAACGAGGGTGATGGAGAACAGTAATCTGATTTTTGATACAAAACTGTCGATTTGACAAAGCTGAGTATGCGAGCACATTGTCATGGTGCAAGAACCATGAGTTGTCTCGCCACAATTCTGGTCTCTCTTTGCGAATTTTTTTAACGTAGTCGTTGTAAAACGCTTTGATAGTACGGGCTGTTTACTGTTTCACCTTGAGGTAAAAATTCAAAATACACAATTCCATTAAAGTCGAAAGTTTGTCTTTTATAGTTTTAATATTCTTTGAATGATGATGGTGATTTATAAGGACGAGTAATTCCCAAACATAGTTTTTAAATATACAAATTTTAAAGCCACTCGTACGCTATAGTTATTTTACACTACCCCTATATTACAGATACAAATTACAATAAATAATCAGTTCAAAAATATAATTGGTAGATACTTTCTATAAGAGCATGGATTATTCAATTTTTATACAAATATTTAATTTTTTCTTTTTTGTACTTGATTTAGTCGATTGCACTAATTGTGTTATTTTATGGTAATTTAATCGGATGAAGAAATTTCTTCTACTCATTTAAACACTAACTTATTTTTCATCTGAAAAGTTTTAAAAGTTTTATAGAAGAAACAGATGGTAAGAGTGGTAAGATACACTGCTTAAATACAATAACAAAAACTATAGTAAAATTTAAAATCAAATTAGGAAAATTTATAAATAAAAAAATAGCAACTAAAACAAATTCCGATACCGGGAATCGAACCCGAGCCTCCTGGGTGAGAGCCAGGTATCCTAGCCACTAGACCATATCGGATAGTTGTATTCGATTTCTTCGAGAGTTAAGTGTACATAGGATTTGTGGGTAGTTAAAACTTCTGCAAAATTGAATTTGTTACAAATATTAAAGATTGAAATTTTGTGATTGTTTGTGTGTTTTTATTTTACTTCATTATAACATTGTTAAATTCTGTTTTCTTCGTTAATGTTAGAGATTTGAAATAGTGTAAAAGTAGGTACTGGAACTATAAGTATTGAAATATATCAGTTGTTATTAAAGGAACAGTATTAATTTATGAACTTTCTTTTTCTATTTCGATTGGCTGCTTACTTCTTTTAGAGCCAGGTGTCAATCTTTTAGTATAGGGTGTCCTAGAAATAAGTGCCTAAATTTTAACCACGTATCAAAACCAAATATTTGTTTAATAATTTATTTTCGACAACCTCTTACTTTTTGAGGCAACATTTTTTGAAATTTAAAATATGTGGTGAAGCATTCCATAAATTTTTACATACGTTACAGAGATATTTCTTTAATCCATACGCAGTTTGTTATCGCAATTTTAATGTGCAAAAAACATCAAATAAAAACGTTTTCGCAAAAAACTATTAGACCAAAGTAGTTGTTTTAGATGATTTAAATACATGGAACACCGTGTATACACAAATTTGGCGTGATGTACATATGTATGTTTGTGTCTATATAAACAAAAAATATAGAAATTTGTTTACATTGGTTATAAACAGTTACTGATGAGAACATATTTGATAGTACGAATATGAAATGATAAAATTTCGTTATTTCGTAAAATAATAAAATAAATATTTTTAATTAAAACTAACCATTTCACACTTTTGTATTATTAATCGGCACATCATTTGAAAATATCTTGTTTTCAATAAGTTGAAAACATGAACTAGTGACAAATTTATAATGAAATAACTAGTTTTGGATAAAATTGAGATGACTGTGACTGATTTACTTATTGACTTATTAAAATAGCAAAAACAAAAGAAAGAAGTGACTTTCTTATTTTGCGATGTATATCAAAAATCATCTTTATAACACTGCTAAATATAATAAAGCGCTACTTCATTAAATACTTTTTAATAATTATTCCTTCTTATTTTTCCAATAACTACAATTATTTAATTAACCCTTAAACCAATAAAGGTTTCCATAAACAGGCGTAATACAAAGCCTTTTATTGCAATAACGTTATAATATCGTTGAAGCTGTCGCATAATGACAAAGGAATGAAAGGCACAGAAATGAAATTTTAAAAGCATTTGACGACGATCCTCGGCTAAGTACACGAAGAACGTCTCGGCAACTTAGGGTGAGTAAATTGAAATTTTGAAAAGTTCTACGTAAGGATGGCAGAAATCCGTACCATTTACAACCTGTGCAAAATTTACTTCCGGGAGATGCAAAGACACGCTTGAATTTGTATCAGTAGTTGTTTGAATTCTTACCCGAAATACTTTGGACCGATGAGGCTACGTTCACAAGGCGAGGGGTAGTGAATTTTCACAATGTGGATATTTAGTCACAAGAAAATCCTCATGAAATTCGGAGTCATTTCTAAACTTTCTAGAAAACCGTCTCTTTGAATTATTAGAGGATGTTCCGTTAAATCTACGACAAAATAGCTGGATACAAATGGATGGTGCTCCTGCGCATGTTAGGAGAATAATACAAGAATGGCTTAATGAAAATTATATGAGATGATGGATCTAAACTCTGGACGTCTATGTTTGGGGTGACCTACTTGAAAAGTTTACTCTACTCCAATAGATACTAGACCACAACTAATGCAGCGAATAGAAGACAGGTGTAATGAATTAAAAGAGAACCACCACATGATATTAGCTTCAATTAGTTCCATTAATAGAAAATGTCAGAAATGTATCGATGTGGGTGGTTCGAATTTTAAACAATTGCTGTAAATACTTAACGTTAATTTTGTTTCTTGTTTAGTTGTTGTTGCTTGGTAAAATACATGTATTTTTATTATTATTTTGATTTAAATTGTTCTTATTTGTAAAGATAATGCCTTCAGGGAAAACTAAAACACACCAGGAACACTACCTCACAAGTGATGTGGAAATGTAGTATATCGACTTGATCGGGAGACTTCCTCTAGCTTCAAAATTGATGGTGGAGGGGTTCTAATAGCTGTTCGCTCGGACCTACAATCCATCCGACAATGTGGCATTTACTTCCTTCTCTAATAATCTTTATCGACTTTGTAACGAAATATCAAATGGTATAGTGTTAATTTGTGGTGTGGGGACACACGTTCCCTGGTACGCCTCTGTATTCATAGAAAATAGTTACCAATAAAAAATTGTATTGAAACAGATTTGCCTGTCTCAGGAGCACTTGTCGTGTCATAAACCGCGCCATTATTCCATGGCTGGAAATTGGCCTCAACGATTTGGGATCGAGGGGGATTATCCCTCTTTATCCTGCCTCATCTCGTGTAGGCCTGGACAGCCTTCGTAGGTGGGCCCTATCCGTCGTCTACCGCGACCGCAAATGCGGCCGGTGTAGGCGCTTTGTGGGACCTCCTTTTGTCCTGGCTGGGCCCCGCCGGCTAGGGCCCTTTCTTCTGGCGCTCTTCTTGCTTCGCCGGCTCGTCTGTGTAAACCCCGGGGGGGGTCATAAACCTACCCTTTTTAGGTAGCTGACCGTACCCTTAGGCTTGACCGGCATCGGGACAGCAAGTGTTTATAACCCAGTACTTTTAGTATTCCAATTATCGTGTGTAACCAATTTAATAAAGAAGTAGAGTCTAACTGGCGTGCTAATTATTTGGTGGACAACATATACACCATAGTGGTGACCCCGACGTGATCTGAAAACCGAGCCAGTGAAAAGTGAACGACATCATGCCTAACACCCCCGATGCCAACAACAGATCGAGCCTACCATCAGTGGATCATGTTTCAGTGAGAGTGCCTCCGTTTATTCCCTCAGACCCGGAGCTGTGGTTTACATTATTGGAGGGCAGTTTTTAGGCCGCAGGCATAACCCGCGACAGTACGAAATACGGTTATGCGGTAAGTAGTCTCGACCCAAAATATGCTGTGGAAGTGCGCGACATCATAGTCAGACCAACGAGTGAGCGTTCATATACTCTGTTAAAAAGTGAACTCATTAAAAGAATGGGCTCGACACAAGAGCAAAATACGCGCCGACTATTAGAAAACGAACCCCTTGGTGACAGAAAGCCGTCGCAGTTCCTCCGTCATCTTCGCGGACTCGCGGGTGCTGCATTCCCGGAAGAAGTGTTACAGACATTGTGGCTAGGTCGCCTACCTAAACAGGTACAAGTTCTTCTTGCAGGGTATAAAGATCTTAGCCTGGACAAAAGAGCGGAAATCGCGGATTCAGTGGCGAATGTGTATGGCCCGCACGCGGAAGTGTCTGAAGCAACCACCGGCGTGGCCTCCATAAATGCACGTTTAGATTACATGCAAAACGCGCTTACTATTGCACTTCAAGAAGTCGCTGCTATAAAAAGTAGATGCCCGGACGATCCACCGCGACGTTATACGCGATCCAGGACCCGCTCACGTTCGAGATCCCGCGACAGAGGACAGGAGAATAACGGTATGTGTTGGTACCATTGGAAGTTCGGTCCGGAAGCCAATAAGTGCCGAAAACCATGTAATTACAGTACAAAAGCTGCGGAAAACGAGAGGGGCAGTCGTTGATGGCGGCAGATGACGTTAGCCCAATGAAATCGCGCCGCTTCTTCGTCATAGACAAATCCACAAATATAAAGTTTTTAATAGACACTGGTGCGGATTTGTGTGTTTACCCGATCTCTCGCATGACGAAACCGCGGAAAAAATCGACCTACGAACTTTGCGCGGCAAATGGTACAGTCATTAACACCTATGGCACCATTAACCTGTCATTAAATCTCGGACTGCGACGACAGTTTACCTGGAAATTCGTAGTGGCGGACGTGGCCAAACCAATAAAAGGCGCCGATTTTCTAGCTCATTACGGACTACTTATAGATATTCAAAAGGGGCTACAACTAGACCAAAATACTCATCTTACTTCGCGAGGCGAGGTGACCGAGTGTGAAGCTCCTAGTGTTAAAACTATTTCAGGGACATCAACCTTTCACGAATTGCTTCAACGATTTCCAGAAATTATCCGACCAGACGGGGTGACAAAATTTGTCAACCACAATACCAGGCACCATATAATTACGACACCTGGCCCGCCGGTTGCGCAACGACCGCGACGTCTTGCGCCAGATAAGTTGAAAATTGCGAAACGCGAGTTCGAGACCATGGTGCAACTAGGTATCGCCCGTCCATCACAGAGTTCGTGGGCATCGCCATTGCACCTAGTGCCGAAAAAAGACAACGAGTGGAGACCCTGTGGCGATTACCGTGACCTAAACGCGAGGACAATTCCCGATCGGTATCCTGTGAGACACATTCAGGATTTTTCTCAGATGCTTCAAGGTAAAANAAATTGTTAAACAAATTTTATGTACCCCCTTTAAGGGGCTGTATCTTAACAAGGGATGCTCCAATGAAGTTTCTTTATATGAAAGATCCTATCTTTTTTTCGATGAGGAATCACCCCCTTAAATGTTTTACACTTATTTAGTTACACCCTGTATAAACAAAAAAATATAGAAATTTGTTTACATTGGTTATAAACAGTTACTGATGAGAACATATTTGATAGTACGAATATGAAATGATAAAATTTCGTTATTTCGTAAAATAATAAAATTAATATTTTTAATTGAAACTAACCTTTTCACACTTGTATTATTAATCGGCACATCATTTGAAAATATCTTGTTTTCAATAAGTTGAAAACATGAACTAGTGACAAATTTATAATGAAATAACTAGTTTTGGATAAAATTGAGATTATTGTGGCTGATTTGTTCAAACTTATTAAAATAGCGAAAACAAAAGAAGTGAATTTTTTATTTTGCGATGTATATCAAAAATCATCTTTATAACACTGCTAAATATAATAAAGCGCTACTTCATTAAATTATTTTTCTCTTATTCCTTCTTCCCGCATCCCTTTCTCTCTAATGTGGCCCTTCTATCGCTTTCGCCCGTGTAGCTTCGACCATGAGGAATTGATTTGCAGTGTAATCCTCCAACAACGCATCTGACTCATCGGAGACCACAGACGGAGACTAAGTGCTGATTGGAGATTCGTGCTTTTTAGCTTTTTTCATCACGGCTTCGTTTGTTAAACTCTGTTGTTGGCCTCTGAACCTGTTAGGACACGTTCTTTTTTTTGTCTGCAATTTGATGTACACTCTCTCGCAGGCACTTGTCTCTTGGGGCTTTCAACTAAGCCTTTTCTCATTGTTTTGTTTTGTTACTTGGTGTACTTGCAATCCTGTGTCTTTGTTGCTTGATTTTACAATTGGCCTGAGCACTTTTTTGGACTATCTGAGCTAATGAACATTTTCGTTATAGATCACATATCACTAGTTTATTCCAAGACGATTTCATCATCTAGGTCTGAGTCTTGGCTAGCAAAACTAATATTTCTAAATATTAGAATTGGAAATTTTTTACTGAAAATATTTGTATAAAATACATATGTATAAAATACATTTAATATATTGAGATACATGGATACAATGCAATCAGCATGAAAACGTATGAGCGTATGTATTGAGTAGTAATGAGAAAAAGCGTTACCCTGGGTATACCTGGGACGATACCAGAGTCGACGTTCGATCCTAGTTAACGATAGCTCCGCCAAGTCCTACTTCACACTGGCTGATGACATCTAGCCCCTCCGGATCTGGGCTATCTGTGGTGCTGCTTTTAATTTCCGATGCATCGTTGAATAGAGAATTTAATATGAGGTATGTAATTATCCAATCCAGAAAACAAGTTGTTTTCAATTAATTTAATTTAATTAAATTAATTTTAATTTAATTTTATAATAATTTAATTTTATATAGCGGCTGAAAAACGTTTGCGTAATTCCTTAAAAAAATTTACATTTACATTTTGATAGTAAATTATTGAATATGTAGAATAGTAATAGATCAAACAGATAGATAGATAGATAGATAGATAGATATATAGATAGATAGATAGATAGATAGATAGATTAAAGCACAGTTGAACGAGTTACGAGATAAGCAGGATGAAGTCTTGACATCTGTGTCTTTTTGTTCCAATAAAGTTTCCGACTTTGAAATAACTTTATTGAAAATACAAGAATAAATGAAAATTATTGAAAAGTTGAAAATGAAAAACTTAAAGATGAAGCTTACCATTTAAAAATAAAACTCAATGATATTTAGATCAATTCTCAAGGCACAATAATTTGGAAATACAGGGTGTACCTGAGAAACGTAATGAAAATCTATTTAATATTGTTCATAAAATAACAGATTTTCTTAGTATTCCATTTAATCCCAATACTATCGAGTCTATTCATCGGGTAAAAACATTCAAACCAGGATTTCCTAACAATATTATAGTAAAATTTTCATCTGTAAGAACAAAGGATGAAATATTAGTCGCAGCAAAGAATAAAAGGGCTTCATCTACTGCTGCAAACCGAGCTCTGTGTATTGATAACATCTCGAATAATTTATATTTAAACGATCATCTAACTACTGAAAATAAATTATTATATAAGAGAGCCAGAGAAGTTGCTAGAGAAAAAGGTTACAACTACGTTTGTCTGAAAAACTGCAATATCTTTATACGTAAGGACGACACATCACGAGTGAAGATCATAAAAAGTGTTGACCACTTGAACTCCCTGTAAAACTAAATAACTCTTTTCAGTAATACGTATGTGTTGTTTTTATGGATCTTTCTGTTATATATCAGAATTGTAGAGGGTTAAGCTCAGAAACGCGTGATTTTAAANGGCCCCATTGAACGAACTGTTAAAAGGCAATGTGAAGGGAAGAACGCCCATCAACTGGACAGCAGAAAGTGTTTGCATTTGAGGCTAGTAAGGAGAGTCTAGCCCAAGCAACTTTATTGACACACCCCCAACATAACGCGCCACTGGCTATTTTTAGTGATGCATCGGACATTGCCGTGGGAGCGTCCCTCCAACAATTTGTAGTACCTGGCAACCCTTAGATTTCTTTTCTAAGAAACTCAGTACAGCGGAGCAAAAATATGGAGCCGACGACAGAGTTACTCGCCATATATCTGTCAGTGAAATATTTTAAACACATGGTAGAAGGAAGGTCGTTCACCGTATACACCGACCATAAACCCATCACTTTCGCCTTTACGCAGAAGAACAAGCAGTGCTCGCCTCGACAGTTCCGACATCTGGATTTTATAAGCCAATTTACCACTGACATACGTAACGTGTCCGGTAAAGACAATGTTGTGGCGGATACCCTATCGCGTATCGAAGAGTTGGAACATACATTGGATTACGAAGCACTGGCAGCGTCACAACGAGACGACGTTGAGTTACAGAAGTACCTTAAGGACGATTCCTCACTACGTCTCAAGTTAGTACTTATTCCTGGTACGGACATATCCGTATTATGTGACGTTTCCACTCAAACAGCTCGACCTTTTACTGAACCATTGCGCAAAACTGCTTTCGACTCTGTGCACCGCCTGTCCCACCCTGGAACAAGAGCGACGGTCAAGCTTATGACGCAACGTTATGTCTGGCCGTCAATCAAAGCAAACTGCAGAGAATAGGTGCGTAGTTGTGTTAAGTTGTGTTAAGGTGTGTGACTCGCCATGTGTCCGCACCTCTTGGAAAATTTGCACCACCCTCAACTAGGTTCGAACACGTACACATCGACATAGTTATCATGCCACCATCCGAAGGATATCGGTACTGTCTTACTATGATTGATCGATTTTCTCGCTGGCCAGAAGCTGTACCCCTGTGTGACCAAGAAGCAGCGACAGTTGCTCGAGCTCTTTTTGACCACTGGATTGCCAGATTTGGGACGCCTGTACGAATTACCACCGATCAAGGCAGACAGTTCGAATCATACCTATTCAAGCATCTAAACTGCTTGTTAGGCGCAACCCACCTAAGGACGACAGCATATCACCCGGCAGCAAATGGTTTAGTGGAACGATTCCATAGACAACTGAAGGCATCAATAATGTGCCATGGCGGTACCAGATGGACGGAGACCTTGTCCACGGTGCTCATGGGAATTCGTTCAGCCTGGAAAGAGGACATCCAAGGAACAGCAGCAGAACTAGTGTACGACCAGTCACTACGCCTGCCTGGAGAGTTCCTAGCCCCACAACATCTAGACCAAGCCGCTAAAGACGCTGCAGAGTTTGTGAAGTCGCTCCGTCTGCTGATGAGAGACTTACGACCCAGTGACGGGTCGCGACACAATAACCAAAAAATTTTTGTCTTCAAAGACCTCGCCACCACAGATCAGGTTTTTGTATGCCGACACAGCGCGAAGCGTATCCTGCAACAACCATACGACGGACCATATAAAGTGTTAAAGCGGAATGAGAAGACGTTTGTCGTTCACATCAACGGACGTGATACTACCGTCTCCATTGATAGACTGAAACCAGCTTACATCGCATCCGAGGAAACAACCAACCCGGGTGGTCTTCGCAATATCCAGGAAGATAACGTCATCAGGAACGTCAGGACCACAAGAGCAGGCAGACGTGTCCGATTCCCAGATCGACTGCAAGGCGGATTCAATTAATATTTATATAGTTTATTTTCTTTCTTTTCACTTCACCGAGTAACGTTAGCACTAGCAGGGGGGGTACTGTGGGGACACACGTTCCCTGGTACGCCTCTGTATTCATAGAAAATAGTTACCAATAAGAAATTGTATTGAAACAGATTTGCCAGTCTCAGGAGCACTTGTCGTGTCATAAACCTACCCTTTTTAGGTAACTGACCGTACCCTTAGGCAGGCAATCTGCAACTCGCTATTTGACCGGCATCGGGACAGCAAGTGTTTATAACCCAGTACTTTTAGTATTCCAATTATCGTGTGTAACCAATTTAATAAAGAAGTAGAGTCTAACTGGCGTGCTAATTATTTGGTGGACGACATATACACCACAGTGGTGATTTCAATATGGCCAATGTTTCCTGGATTAATAATAACAATGATTCATATTTGATTCCAACTAATGTTAACCTATATTCAAGTATATTAATAGATATATTGTCATACTGTGGGTTAATGCAATTTAATAATATAGTAAATTTTACTGACAATTTATTAGACTTAGTCCTTTCAAATAAAAATTGTGTAAAAAGTTAAGTTATTGTAGTAATGCTCTAGTTGTTGAAGATGTTTATCACAAACCCGTTGAATTTATTCTCGCTTGTTCCGTAGTGAAACCATTGAAGCATAATAGTCTAAGTAGATACAATTTTAGAAAAGCTAAGTATGAAGTAGTCAATGAATACTTTCGCAGTTTGCACTGGTATACATTCTGTTAGTACAGATAGTTACATTATTGTTATTTATTGTATTTTATTAGTGTATTTATACTGTATCTATACTGTAATATGTATGTGGGTGTATGCATATGTATGTGTGTATATATGTTTGGTTTGGTTGTTAATCAATTATATTTAGTGAACATTGTTTTGGGCTCTTAGCCAGCCTGTTTATAATAAATAAATAAATAAATAAATAAATAAATAAATAAATAAATAAATAAATAAATAAATAAACCCAACTAATAGGAAATAGGTTAGAATATGCCGCAAAAAGTAATAATAACCTAATAATAAACTAATGTTCAAAGAACATTAATACAAAGGAAAATTTGCATGTAAATTGAAAGCAGAAACCAGTCATTACATTTTATTTTTCTCTGCCACATTCAAAGCAACATGATAAAGATAATTTCTACAAATATGAAATATAATTTTACACAGTTAATAGCTACGTTTACTATGTAAATTACATCGTTTGTGAAGTTAACTACAGCAATTAAATTATATAATGCGTGTCAAATAAATTAGATGCATGGTGATATTAATTAGCCCCATATTGTGCAGTATAGTGCATGTCGAGAAAACTATACGTTTACGTTGAAACTAGAAAATATTAACTATTCTAGAATCTTGTTAAATTTTTTGAATAATGTGACATGTGTTTAACCATATTTATTATTCATTATTGTTATAGCATACATAAAATACAAATTGCATTAATCTATAATAGTACAAATATATAATTTCAGCATGAGATAGACTAATCAGAAATGAACAAAAAAGTTGTATATTATAGGGGTGTAAGATTAACAGTTTTCAAAATACAGCGAATATTAATATTGGGGAGTTGCATCACAACGTGACAACAGCGCTACACAGCTGATGCACACCACGTGTGCACGCGGCAGACTTGACCTACGGAAAAAATATGAATAACTATTATTGTGAAACATTTAGTAAATTTCAAGACAATTGTTTTCCAGTTTTTAAATAAATAAAATAAAGTGTATCGATTTTGTAGTACGAAGATAGTGTTGTATTTAAATTTTAGCTGGAATTTTAGTAATTATGCGTCTCTTAAAACAGGAACTTAACTTTTAATCAAATTTTAAATTTGAAAAATATGTAATTAAAGTACCCAAAGATTCACGTTGTCCAAATAATCATACGTATTAAAAATAATTTAGGGACTTTAGCAAAATTCAATAATTTTTAAACGTACAAGTACAAAACAAATTACAACATATGCTCAAAATGTCCACCACCATTTTCGTTGCACGCACGACACCTTCGAATCCAGTTTTCACGCACTCGCTGGAAAACACCTCAAGAAAATGAAATAGTGGTACGCAAAAAACACTCCACGGTCCAATTCCAGATAACAACTCCAACTGAATTACGTATTATGGACAGGTTAGCACCTCGTGTTAATCGCCGCGCCGTTGTCACATTGCTCGATGTGAATTTTATCGAATTTTAAATTTATTACAACTCTAATTATTTTTTAGAATTAAGCATAAAGAAGTTCAAAAAAGTCATAAACATTGTATTTTATGGTATCCTATGCACGCAGTTATGCCAATATTCCTTAATTAATCGAACTTGTGTACATCAACTTGGAGATTTTGATAATTTTTTTCTCGGAAATGGTTGAGTTTAGGACCCATGTCCTATAAGATTTTTTTTTTATTTTAATGCATTCTATCTCCTGTTAAAATTAAGGCAGTTAAAGTTATAACACCCTATATTTTTAAAATACACATATTGTGTTTCATTAAATATTCACAGTTAATTAAACAGTTTCTAATTACATTTTCGTTTATTGAATTGAACATTTCTACCAAAATGGAGAAGAAAATGGAATTTTAAATAAGCAACGGATTAAATAAAAAATACCGCAATGACATAAATTTGTTAATTATTGAAAAATTGAAGTCACCACAGTTGGTATACGTGCAAGTATACGTGAAAGTAATGTACCTGCTTTGGTGTTGGAAAATCCTTGAATCGCCTTGTTCCGACCATCGAACTAAAAGGGTGGAAATTAATCCAACTGAATAATTAAATAATCATTAAAGCCTTCGTTAACAACATTTCCTTGTTTAATGTTAATTATGACGGATTATGATGAATCATTAAATGAACTGTTTACGTAAATATTTCACCACTTTTATTACATAATTTTTAATATTTCGTTCAACGAAATTATTTAATAAATAGAGGAAGTAAATAGGGATTCAGCTCGCGCAAGAAGTATTAAAATTCGTTTTAACTACCAGATTTGTAGGTTTACACTTTTAAAGATTATAACAATTTTTTGCCTCATTTCTTTCTCTAGTTTTTACAGTTTGCGTTCAGTACGTTACAAACAACAATTGCCATTTAAGTTATATTGAAATGTTAATCATAATGCCGCTTAATACTTGCTTACTGTATAAAAGCCTAGTTTTAGTGGTACGTATTTCTATTTTCAACGCCCATCGATCATTGTTTAAAGCAAAAGCTTACAATTCACTGCAGTCTATTCAAGCGCCAACCCGAAAAGTCCACAAGGTGGACCATGGGAGCGGGAAGTTTTGAAAACGACGTATTTCCGAAAGTAACTGTATTTAATTAAAAGAAAGTATAGCAATAACAAGATAATCGTGTGCCATTTTTATTTCTTAAAAATTATGCCTGCTAAATGGCCTCCTCTTCTCTCCATACACTCTTGAAGCCGAACGTTGAAATTCTGCATAACACGACGCAACATATCCAACGGAATATTAGCAATTTCTTCCCGAATTTTCATTTTCAGCTCCCGAATATCTCGTGGTTTGTTAATGAACACCTTGCTTTTTAGATAGCCCCACAAAAAGTAGTCGCATGCCGTAAAATCTGGCGATCATGGAGGCCACTCAATGTCTCCGTGTCTGGAGATAACACGACCTGGAAACAATCTTGGCACGGAATCCATTGATGTTCTTGCAGTATGTGAAGTAGCGCCATCTTGTTGGAACCAGCTATTGTTCTGTGGAAACATGTTCAGTTGCTGTGTAAGGAACTGGTTAATCATGTTAGTATAGCGTGCAGCATTAAAGCATTTTCATAGTGACCCTCATAAAAAATAGGGACCTATGATTCCCATACTGTTACCTCTTGGGGCTGTGTAACGGCTATTGATGAAGTTCTTGTGGATTTTCCAAAGCCCAATAACGGCTGTTTTGTTTATTGGTATAGCCAGACAAATGGTAATGTGCTTCATCAGACATCCATAAATTGTGAACATGCTGCAGCATCGTTTCAGAAAAATATAGGCGAACAGGAAGATCTGTTGGTTTCAATGCTTGGACAATGTGGATTTTGTAAGGATGAAAATTGAGATCCTTGTGTAAAATTCTAAGAAAAGTAGTCCTAGATGAGCCCAAGGCCTGGCTTTGTTTTCGACTTGAACGTTTTGGACTGCGCTCTAATGCTCTAACGCGATCAATGTTTTCAAGACTTCTGACACTTCTGTTTGGACCCTTATGTTTGACATTTTCAGCTGATCCAGTATCTTCAAATTTACGAGCCCACTCCTTTATGGCATGGACAGATGGAACTCTTCCGTGACGAGCAATGTTGAAATTAATTCGAAATTGCCGCTGTGCTGCGACCACACAATCATTATTTTTGTAGTAAGATTTAATCACAAAAGAACGTTGTTTGCCGGACCACTATCCCATGATTACTAAATGGTATAAAATGACAGATAATTTGTCAAACAAATCCGCGGAATCCTATGCATAGTAATGAAATACTAATATTTTCAAAACTTCCCGCTCCCATGATCCACCTGTTATGTTGAATATAGTATATTCATATGTAGATTAAGAATTGTTAAGTTATTGCTTTTGTTATTCCCAAATAAAAACTTATTTAATTTAATAATATTGTAACATCTGTTAATGGGATCTGAAATTCTATACTAGCACCTATGGAACATAACGCATGTGAATACAGCGTGTTAATGAACTTATGTCAAAAATTTAAAGGGGTGAAAAATGAGTAAAAACTGAGTTATCTGATGTCACAAACTTGTATCGGAAGTTTAAGGTCATAAAGAAAAAAGCTAATTTAAAATGTGTTTAAAACTGTTTAGGAACTGCTGAAATACATGTATTTTATTGCGGCGAGTACCTACTTACAAAAAATTCTGTAACACTTTTTACGACTTTGTAGGTTCCTTATGAAGCCGGACTATAATCGAAAGTCAGTTTGTAA